TCTGAAAATGTCAACAACAAAGAAGCGTTACTTACATAGCTATGACAGTCCTCAGGGAGCAGTGTAAGTTGTAAATGTGCCTGTGTAAGTTGTAAATGTGCCTGTGTAAGTTGTAAATGTGCCTGTGTAAGTTGTAAATGTGCCTGTGTAAGTTGTAAATGTGCCTGTGTAAGTTGTAAATGTGCCTGTGTAAGTTGAAAATGTGCCTGTGTAAGTTGTAAATGTGCCTGTGTAAGTTGTAAATGTGCCTGTGTATGCTATAAATGGGCTTGTGAAAGTTGTATATATGCATTTACACAAGCTGTAATTGTGCTTGTGTAGGCTGTAAATGTGCCTGTGTAAGTTGTAAATGTGCCTGTGTAAGTTGTAAATGTGCCTGTGTAAGTTGTAAATGTGCCTGTGTAAGTTGTAAATGTGCCTGTGTAAGCTGTAAATGTGCCTGTGTAAGTTGTAAATGTGCCTGTGTAAGTTGTAAATGTGCCTGTGTAAGTTGTAAATGTGCCTGTGTAAGCACATTTACTCAAGCTGTAAATGTGCTTGTGTAAGCTGTAAATGTACTTGTGTAAGTTATAAATCAATTTGTACATCAATAAATCAATTGCAAATGTGCATTTGTAAGCAATAAAAACATTCAGGTCAACTGTAAATGTCCTTAGGTATGTTGCGTCACGGGTGTTGCATCACGGGTGTTGCGTCACGAGTATGTTGCATGACGGGTATGTTGCGTCACGGGTGTTGCGTCACGGGTGTTGCGTCACGGGTATGTTGCGTCACGGGTATGTTGCGTCACGGGTATGTTGCGTCACGAGTGTTGCGTCACGGGTGTTGCATCACGGGTATGTTGCGTCACGGGTATGTTGCATCACGGGTGTTGCATCACGGGTGTTGCGTCACGGGTGTTGCATCACGGGTATGTTGCGTCACGGGTATGTTGCATCACGGGTGTTGCATCACGGGTATGTTGCATCACGGGTATGTTGCGTCACGGGTATGTTGCATCACGGGTATGTTGCGTCACGGGTATGTTGCATCACGGGTATGTTGCATCACGGTTATGTTGCGTCACGGGTATGTTGCGTCACGGGTATGTTGCATCACGGGTATGTTGCGTCACGGGTATGTTGCATCACGGGTATGTTGCGTCATGGGTATGTTGCATCACTGGTATGTTGCGTCACGGGTATGTTGCATCACGGGTATGTTGCATCACAGGTCTGTTGCGTCATGGGTATGTTGCATCACGGGTATGTTGCATCACGGGTATGTTGCATCACGGGTATGTTGCGTCATGAGTATGTTGCATCACGGGTATGTTGCATCACGGGTATGTTGCGTCACGGGTATGTTGCATCACGGGTATGCTGTGTCACGGGTGACGCAACTCTCCCTTGCGTCACGGGTATGTTGCGTCACGGATATGTTGCATCACGGATATGTTGCATCACGGATATGTTGCTTCACGGGTATGTTGCATCATGGGTATGTTGCGTCAAGGGTATGTTGATAGTGGTGGTTCAGACAACTTTCTATTTCCTAGATAACAATCTATTTCTGTTTGATATCATTATTTTATTTGTATGATTTTTTTATCGCTCCTTATCACTTTTTTCGAAATTTCTTTCTTTCTCACAATATATGACGTGTAAACAAGGTATTAATTAATTCATTCATTCTCTCTCTCTCTCTCTCTCTCTCTCTCTCTCTCTCTCTCTCTCTCTCTCTCTCTCTCTCTCTCTCTCTCTCTCTCTCTCTCTCTCTCTCACTCTCCCACTCTCCCTACATGGGAGAGGTCGTGTTAGGTGAGTGGTGGTGAGCGGAGGCTACACACACTGGGATTATCTGATTATCCTCAGTCTCTGATCTGATGGGCGACAGCTGGCCGGTCTTGACCTCCCCCTTCCTCCCTCTCTTTCATATTTCCTCCCTCCTAACTCTTATATTTTCCCTCATGGTCACACTTTCCTACCTCTTAGCTGCCTGGCACTCCCTCCCTCCCTCAACTCTCCCTCTCTCAACACTCTCCCTGGCCCTCCTCCCTCCCTCAACACTCTCCCTGGCCCTCCCCCCTCCCTCAACACTCTCCCTGGCCCTCCCTCCCTCTCTCAACACTCTCCCTGCCCTCCCTCCCTCCTCACCCCTCCTCCCTGGCACTCCTCCCTCCCTCAACTCAAACTGGCACTCCCTCCCTCAACACACTCCCTGGCACTCCTTCCCTCCCTCAACACTCTCCCTGGCACTCCCTCCTTCCCTCAACACTCTCCCTTCCCCTGGCCCTCCCTACCTCAACCCTCCCTGGCACTTCCACCCTCCCTCAGCCACTCTCCCTGGCACTCCCTGCCTCCCTCAACCCTCTCCCTGGCCCTCACTCCCTCCCTCAACTCTCCCTGGCCACTCCCTCCTCCCTCAACTCGACCTGGGCAACTCCCTCCCTCCCTCAACACTCTCCCTGGCACTCCCTCCCTCCCTCAACACTCTCCCTGGCCCTCCCTCAACACTCTCCCTGGCACTCCCTCCTTCCCTCAACACTCTCCCTGGCCCTCCCTCCCTCAACTCCTCCTGGCACTCCCTCCCTCCTCCGCAGCACTCCCTCCCTCCCTCAACACTCTCCCTGGCCCTCCCTCCCTCTCTCAACACTCCTCCCTGGCCCCTCCCTCCCTCTCCAACACTCTCCCTGGCCCCTCCCTCCCTCCCTCAACTCTCCCTGGCACTCTCCTCCCTCTCTCAAAACTCTCCCTGGCACTCCCTCCCTCCCTCAAACTCTCCCTGGCACTACCTCCCTCCCTCAAATCTCTCCCTGGCCCTCCCTCCCTCAACTCTCCCTGGCCCTTCCTCCCTCAAATCTCCCTGGCCCTCCCCTCCATCAACTCTCCCTGGCCCTCCCTCAACTCTCCCTGGCAACCCCTCCCTCAACTCTCCCTGGCCCTCCATCCCTCCAACTCTCTCCTGGCCCTCCCTCCCTCAACTCTCCCTGGCACCTCCCTCCTCAACTCTCCCTGGCACTCCCTCCCTCAACTCTCCCTGGCACTCCCTCCCTCAACTCTCCCTGGCACTCCCTCCCTCAACTCTCCCTGGCCCTCCCTCCCTCAACTCTCCCTGGCACTCCCTCCCTCAACTCTCCCTGGCCCTCCCTCCCTCAACTCTCCCTGGCACTCCCTCCCTCAACTCTCCTAGGCCCTCCCTCCCTCAACTCTCCCTGGCCCTCCCTCCCTCAACTCTCCCTGGCCCCTCCTCCCTCAACTCTCCCTGGGCCCTCCCTCCCTCAACTCTCCCTGGCCCTCCCTCCCTAAACTCTCCCTGGCCCTCCCCTCCCTCAACTCTCCCTGGCCCTCCCTCCCTCAACTCTCCCTGGCACTCCCTCCCTCAACTCTCCCTGGCCCTCCCTCCCTCAACTCTCCCTGGCACTCCCTCCCTTAACAACAGCAACTACCGGCACTGTTAAGACTCTATAATCACCTTAACTCACCCCTCCCCTTCCCTTCCCTTCCCATACTCTTTCCCTTCCTCTCCTCCAACTTACACTTCCCTCTCAACTCTCCACCCATCCCCTACCCCTCTCTCCTCTCCCCTTACCAACCCTCTACTACTTTCCTTTCACCACTTCCCTTTCTCCCTTCTCCCCTTAACATTCCCTTCCTCCCCCCCCCCTTCCCACATCTCCACTCCCCCCCCCATATAGGAACTCCAGACCCTCCCATTTAATTCAGTACAGCTCCAGGTTGAATAACTTTTGTTCTGTCGTGACCTTTGTGTTAAGGCAAGCACTTGGAGTCACCAAGACGCTGGTTCGAGTCCCCGCCTCCAAATAATGTTCTCGTTGATACATCTCTCTCTGTTCCCGTCTGCCTCTGTCATCTCTTTCGTTCTCTGTCTCTTTCTGTGTCTGTTTATCGCGGTCAGTCTCTATTTCTGTTGTCTCTCTCTCTCTCTCTCTCTGTCTTTATGTCTCTCTTTGTCTGTCTATGTCAGTCTCAGCTATGTCTGTCTATTGTGCTCTGTGTCTGCCTGCTTTCTCTCTCTGTCGATCTCCCTCTCTCTCTCTCTCTCTCTATCCGCTCTCTCTCTCTCTCTCTGCTCTCTCGTCTCTCTCTCTCTCTCTCCTCTCTCTCTAGTACTCTCTTCTCTCTCTCTCTCTCTATCTCCTCTCTCTCTCTCTCTCTCTCTCTCTCTCTCCTCTCTCTCTCTCTCTCTCTCTCTCTCACACACACAGGTTATTAGAGGCAAGACAAAAATTATAAACATCAGCCAAGTTAATATTGTGTGGTTCGAGGTGGGGGTTCCTTTGGCACCATGTTAAGTGGCACTCGCTTCACTTTATACCAATCCATGCTGATACACTGTGTACATGTTAACATTTAACAACTCAGGACGTATATACAGTTCTGTTATACATGGAATATACTGACTCGATAAACTACTGCTGCTGCTGCAATTTCCCGTTGGAAGGAGTAATGACGATACAGTGGTTGAGTATTAATTGATATCTAGTAATTAGTCAATTATTAATTCAATAAACTTTTACTTTCTTCGCTGTGAGGCCTACCCCCCTCCCCCCCCCACCATTTAGACACACCCCTTCCTTCCCCTCACTATAGACACTCCCCCCTTCCCCCCCCCTCCCTCAGAAACCTGAAATACTTCAAGGAGAGAAGGAGTAACAGCGGAAAGTAACAGGGAGGAAGGGGAAGAGGAAGCGAAGGAAGGCGAGGTAAGGCATCAACGAGAGGGAGGGAGGGAGGGAGGAAAGTAGGAGGGAGGGAGGGAGGGAGGGAGGTATGTAGGCAACCCGTTCGTGCACTTGCTTATAGTCAATATCTGGCTTATTAATAAGTGTATATGTGACATACTAATTTATTGTGAATATTTTAGTTTACCTTGAAAAGCTGAATAGAAAACACCGACCTAACCTAACCTTCTTAGTATATTAAGATAAGCATCTTATTGCTTCTTAATTACAATTGGTACTTAACCTATACCTATATTGATATTTCAGTTTCATTAAA